GGCTGACAAGCACCAAAATCAAAACTGCAAGAATCACTGGGTTCATGTTTTCACTCTGACCACACCAGATTCTGTTCAAAATAAAACCAGAAAGCTCTTTACTACTACACAAAATATTATTTGGAATATTCAAACATTAAAAATAAAATACATCTCACCTGATAAACTGTCCTGCTGAAAGGTGACCTGGTAAATGTTCAGTAGTCAGAGCAGTATGCTCCTCTTATTTTGGTCAAGTTGCACTAGTTAAGAAATTCCAGTTTTTCATGAACTTAAAACGAGCCATTATGGTCTTCCTAAAAGTCTGAGAAACCATGCTTTATGGTTCGGCTCTTTTGTGTATCTGTTTCTTCCAGTCATACTGGTAACTCACGTTTTGCCCCGCTGCCCCTCAGGCAGGAGGTTGAGGAGCATTGTGTAGAACCTTTAGACAGAGGAACAGCTTCTACCCTGAAGCTAGACTCTCGAATCTCAATCAGGATTATCACTGTGAAAAAAAACAATGTAATTCCACTTGATTGCTGATATGTGCTGCTGATGTTATGTTGCTGATTTATTTAATGCTGCTGTGTTCATTTGTGTTCATTCATATTAATTCGTACTCATATGCTCACACAGACTCATGTTCATGCTGCTGTTGTTCGGCATGTTGTTTTCATACTAGGGCTTAGCATATTCTTAGTTTAGTGTATTTCTTAGTTCATATCTTAGATCTTTTTACTGTTTTTCTTTACAATTTATACTTTTGTTGGATGTAACTGCAGGGACCCTGTGTACACAGTTTTGGATAAAAAATTAAACTTTGACTTTAAAAGTTGATTTTAGTTTTAGATTGCTCTTCTCATATCCTCTGAGTGGCTTATTTGAGTAATGAGTTGATAGGATAATTAATTTATCCAACATTGATTTTCTAAACATGACGCTCCAGTGGCTTTCAAACCCCAAAATACATTACGGCAAAGACTGGTCCATCCCAAAGATCCAGTCTCCCAGCACAAACAAAGTAATATTGTGTTATTGTGTATCATCATTAAACAGGGGCGGAGGCCTCCATGTCCAATTATCTCCTTCTTACAATGCTGTTATTGCTAGTCTCACTCAGTCCTCTGAATAGCAAGCGGCCATCAGGACACTAATGTGTGTCTTAAACATGGTTAGGAATTCCAGGAGTTTATCATCTTTAGTTCAACTTGAAACAAAGTTAGTGGAGATTAAGCTGTCCTTCAGCAATAAGCACTCACGGGCATGTCTGCTGAGTTTCTCTCCACTCTGGCAGACGAAGCAATGAGCCAAGTGGGCGGAGTTTGTATAGTCTCAATTCAAACTCCTCCTTCACAGCTCGTCTGCACTTCTAGCCCGTCCATACACTGGCTGACTGATAAAGAACAAAGATATCCAGTCACTGCAGAAGCTTGCTTGGAAAAAACAAAACTAATTGTTCACGACAACTCTTTTCAAAAATTTGTTAATGTCACATTTGGCAGGAGCTGGTGAACCCAGTGGTGTAGGCAGGTAGGCAAGGACTCAGGATGTATATATAAAATAAGATATTTATTTACAAAGAGTTGGAAAGGCAGCAAAACAAACATAGAATGAATGGGGGGTGGTACTCACGATACCGCTGGGCTATCACCAGTGAACAGAGAACAATGCCAGGACAAGGACTTTACAGGAAACACCAATTAGACCAAGTGAAAGCACCCGTGAGTAACCACAGATGCCAGCGTAAGATCCAGAGAATGCAATACATGAACACGACACAAGATGGGGTTAGATACTAAAGAAACACAAACCCTATAAAGAGAAACAGAGGATCGAGGGAACACAGACATAAACAGGACACCAGGGACAAAACCACAACTCCTACAGTTAATAGTGCAAAATTAATTTCATACAACACTGTTCTACAGATAAAAACAAATGTGAGCTGTCACACTTCACAGTGTGATTGTGAACATATGACTGCATGACTTGATACATTTCAGGAACAAAAAATGGATACAGTAAATGTTATTTGTAGGTCATAACACAAATAAGTGAAGATAGAAGTTAATTAAAATCATTAAAATGTTGCAAAGTGAACAGTTTTTTAAACATATGCATAAACATTCTTGAAATCATATTTGAAATGCATGTTTTATTGTTTTTTACACCGTGATGGTGAAATGTCCCTAATGTCTAATGTTGTCAAGTATTGGAATGACTGCAGAGCACAGATGAAACATAGGTATACATAGACTCACTGACAAGAAAGACCTGATTTTAATAAAGAATTATTACAAAAGACAACAGTAGATAATCATAAAAGAAAGTATGTAAATTGAGAAGAATAAATTAAAAAAAAAGGTATAAAAACAGCTAAATTGTAAAGAATCAGAATAAACTTTATTGGAATTGCACCGAGGTACAACGCGAATATGTACGTACATGTAAAGCGAGACTAAATTGTATAAATAAAAGTTGAATGAATCCACTTGGAAGAACATCCATCTCCCTTCTCCCATTGTTTTCCTTCCCCATACATTGATTTCCCCAAATTTTACATTCAACAAAACTTGTGTTACTTGGGATCAAATTTCTCCTTCAAGCTATTCCCTATAACAACATCAGCTGGACATTTCAAATCTAAGGGCAAAGACGTTCTTCCTGCTCAGATTAGACAAAGCTTCCAAAAATGTGCCTCCTTCTGAAATTTACAGACACAAGTCAGAGTCAGAGTCAGAGTCAGAGTTTCTTTATTGTCATTCGCACCTCATGTGGTACATGTGGTGGAGCGAAATTATGTACACAGGGTCCCAGTTACATCCAACAATAAAATGTATAAGAAAAACAGTAATAACATCTAAGATATGAACTAAGAAAAACATCAACTAAATATACACTAAGCACTCATAACATAAAACATTGAACATCAGCACAAACATGAACATGAGTCTGTGAGCAGATGTGCACGCATGAACACATCAACATTGAAACAGATCAGCAGCAACATGAAACAGATCAGCAGCAACATGATATGGTTTTTCACAGTGATTATTCTAGTTAGAGATTCATGAGTCTAACAGCCTCAGGGTAGAAGCTGTTCCTCAGTCTAGTGGTTCTACACTTAATGCTCCTTAACCTCCTTCCTGAGGGGAGTGGGGCAAAAAGTGTGTGTGCTGGGTGGGTGGGGTCCTTCATGATGCAGGTGGCCCTCTTCCTGCATCTGGAGGTGTAGATGTCTGTGATGGTGGGGAGACTGATTCCAACAGTCTTCTGTGCAGCCTTCACCACTCTCTGCAAAGCTTTTCTTTCTGCAGCTGTGCAGCCTCCATGCCACACATTGATGCTCGAGCACAGGATGCTCTCCACTGCACACCTGTAGAAGGAGGTGAGGACTGAGCTTCCCAGACCAGCTCGCCTCAGCCGTCTGAGGAAGTAGAGTCTCTGATGAGCTTTCTTGATCAGGCTGGTGGTGTTGTTGCTCCAGCTGAGGTTGTCATTCATGTGTACACCCAAGTACTTGTAGCTGGAGACCACTTCCACCGCAGATCCTCTTATGTTCAGGGGGGTGTAGGTGTTTTGTTTCCTTCTGAAGTCCACAATCATCTCCTTTGTCTTCTTCACATTGATGTGAAGGTTATTCTCTCTGCACCAGCTCTCCAGGTGTTCCACCTCCTGCCTGTAGCTGGACTCATCATTGTTTGTGATGCATCCCACCACCGCTGTATCATCTGCAAACTTTACAATGTGACAGCCTGGATGGGTAGCTGCACAATCATATGTGAGCAGAGTAAACAGGAGGGGGCTCAACACACATCCCTGAGGAGAGCCAGTGCTGAGGGTTATGGTGGAGGAGGAGAGGTTGTGGATCCTCACTAACTGTGGTCTGTTTGTTAAAAAGTCTAGTACCCAGTTGCAGATGGAGGGGCTTAGTCCTAGTGTGGATAGTTTGCAAATCTACCACATGTCCACATGATCAAGTCTATCTTGGTGTTTGTGGCAGACAGCTACATTGTTCAAGCATTGCTTTTTCATGGAGGAGCCATGGAAGCCCTTAAGCCTTCTTGAAGCACTACAACTACTTCCAGTCTCAGCTTAAGAGCATGGCACAACAAGAAGTACCAACAACTCTCCTTGTGTGAATAAAGCACACTCCGCTTCTCTCATGCATCTTAAAACAATCTTTGTTCGCATTGTCATAATGGGGTATTGTGTGTAGAACTGAGGAAAGAGTAATTTAATACAATTTAGAATAAGGCTATGACATAACAAAATGTGGAAAAGTGAAGTGCTATCAATACTTTCTGGATGCACTGTGTGTACAAGTCTCTCTTGTAAAGGAGCCCGGGCTCAATGATACCAAGCTGTATAAATAAAGGTTGAATGAATGAATTACTTATATTATTATATATATTAGCTATTTTTAACTGAGAGCAGAAAAAAACAAATTAGTAGAAAGATGCAAAACGGAGCTGAAAATAGCACAAAAAGCAGAATCAAAACAAAAGGTGAAATGTGCAGTAAAAGGTTGTAAACAGCACAAAGAAAGAGAAGAAATCTATTTTCAATGAAACAGGAAACAGTGGCTAAAATAGTTAAATATTTCAAAAAGTATAAACAGCACAAACACTAAAAGTTATAGCAGGAATTTTCTTAACAAGCTGGATGTTTTTGAAATATATGTTGTTAAAATAGTACAAAAATTGTGGAACGCAATAGTTACCAAATAATTTATAGATGAAAAATGGATCTAAAGTGTAAACGATTTTTAAGCATTCATAGAACACCTGATGTTTTGTGCATTAAAACACATTGCTAAAATTCATGGATGTTTACTCAGAAAGATGTCTTCGTAATTTCATAAAACAATAAGAATCGAGACGTTTTGATAAAATAACACAAAATGTCAATTAAACGTTGCAGCAAAATGCTTTTTATTTTGAAAGGAATGCATCAGATTATTAAACCATCAGAAGATATTTTGCTTGATGACAACTATGCGATGCAAAGGTCCGTCAGGCAGCAAGTGGATTTTACATGACCAGGACGATTCATCTTCTTGCATTCAGAAAAATTAAAGCAGCCCTTAAAGAAACCTCTAGCTGTTGACAAAAAAAAAAAGTTATTTTCTGTGGCTTAAATGATCAAAGTTAAAGTAAAGGAGGTTTGTACTCACGTGGACTGAAGTAGTCAATATAGGCACAGCCATCGTCAGCAGAGTGGCACTTAACTATAGGTTCTGGACACCTTATATTACCTCCACAGTGACATCTCAAGGCATCATCTTGGAAATTAACAACATCATCATAAAGTTGATATAAAATGTATTAAAAAACACCTTTTAGTTGCTTTTATTATACTATGGCTGCAAGTTTACTCACTCTGGCTGACAAGCACCAAAACCAAAACTGCAAGAATCACTGGTTTCATGTTTTCACTCTGACCACACCAGATTCTGTTCAAAATAAAACCAGAAAGCTCTTTACTACTACACAAAATATTATTTGGAATACTCGGACATTAAAAATAAAAACACAACACACCTGGTAAACTGTCCTGCTGAAAGGTGACCTGGTAAATGTTCAGTAGTCAGAGCAGTACGCTCCTTTTATTTTGGTCAGGTTGCACAAGTGAAGAAATTCTAGTTTTTCATGAACTAAAAACGAGCCATTTGGATCTACTGAACAGGTGTGACGAAACTATACTTTATGGTTCAGCTCTTCTGTGTGTCTGTTTCTTCCAGTCATTCTGGTAAAAGATGATTTTAGTTTTATTAAATATTTGACCGTGCTCACATCAAAACCTGATGGCTGACATAGACAGATCAACAAAACTATAAAATAAAATTAAAAGGAACACAAATGATGAATTGCTTTCTACAAGTTCTGTTGCAGTGGTTATATTTATTGTATATAAACCTAGAAAAAGATCTCACCTCACAAAATGTTGTGCAAAGGTGTGAAACCTAAAATTGTATTCCACTGAGTGTTAGTCAATGAGTCTTTGGGCAGGAACAGTGCAGCTATTTTCTCTTAAAATCACAACTGTAGATGTAAAAAGAAAATAGATCCAAGCTGTAAAATAGAATGAGAGAGAATCTTTCTTGTTCAGTGACATAATTGCAAAGAAGGCTTGTGGTCAGAAGATTGTGCAAACATGTAGAAGGAGAAAACTCTACCAAGTGTATATTGTTACAACTTTACAATCTATTTTTATCATAAGAAATCTTACAAAGTCCAATACTAGAATTGGAATTGTATGTGCAGATGTCATGGGGATCTGTTATAGTTTGTGCAAAAAGACTTGTCTTCTGTTAGAAAAATAATTGCTTTCATTGTTCTCAGTGCTTAATTATATAATGGTACAAACGGTGTGACATTGAGCTTTTGTAAATTACTCTTTGACCAAGTTAAGTATATTAATTTAAGGTTGGTCTCTAAAAACTAGTAGACCAAAAGTTCCCACAAAGTTCCTGGAGCAAGAGGTGGGTCAGTTCTTCAGATACCAGAATTACAAAGATCATGATAACCCCAGGATGTCAAAGGGCAACTATTGATAAGTACTCAAGAATTTCAAGGTACTTTGGAAAAGTCCTGAAAAATGTCCACTTTAAATTCCTTTGTCATGTGACGTCTTGTAAAAGTTTATACAAGATCTGGTTAAAAAACAACATCTGAACATCATTATTTGTACCATTAGTGTATTAATGCATGTTCCTTCTTGCAAGAATAAAAACATACTTGTTTAAAATTGGCAGGATCTTGAAATTTATAAAAATAAAAATAAACTAATGTGGTATTCTACTTGTGATGGTGGCCGCCAATCAACCACCCAACACAGTTGCAAAGAGAAGGAATTAGGCTGAGTTCCCCAAAACCAACAGTCACCCTGGGAGTTTTAACCAAGAAAATGTTCATAGAGTTTATATTATCTTAATGTTTTTAAATCAATGCACTCCTTAACCCCAAAAGGCAGGTTTGTTTTACCATGGAAAATTAGAGACTATGTTCCATCCACACAACAGATTAAACATGTATAAACAACTTCATGTAATTACTGCTGAAGAGCATTGAGTTTTAAAAGTTTGATGTTCCAAGAACCTAAAAGATGTACAGACATTGGGTACAAAAGGTGTTTTTAGTTACAAAAGAGGAAGGGGAGTGGGACCAGGAGGATCTGCAGAGAGGGAGGGTAAGTCTCTCATAACCATAAGAAAATCCTTACTTCAAACAACAGGAAGCATTATTGCTTCCTATGTTGGTTTTTCTCTTTCAAACTTGGAGGAGGAGGCATGGAGGTTTCCAACAATTTCCAGGTGTAGGTAGCAGACTTCCAAGACATATGTGTCTTTGGCAGTGAGCACAAGATGATCCAGAGAAGGTAGATTAAACTAGTTTGTCCAAATTTCCAGACAGAGGGGATGAGTTTGTTCCAGGCGATGGATGCAGATACTTGGATGACCCAAACTCTCTGGAGGTATTCAAGGCACAAGGGGAAAGTTTCTGCACGGCAAGTGGCATGGGAGAACCAGCACTGAAGCATCGGTATGTGATATGGCCTCTGTTTATTCGGTTCTGGTCGATCAAGGAGTCTGTTGCAGCTCCAGTAAATTGAGAACACCTGTTGCTTCTGACTGTGGAGGTTAGTTATGAGAAGAGGAGAGCCAGGAACTGGAATACTCATAGTTTAAAGCACAGTTAAAATGTGAAAAAAGATCAAATGATGTAGAGATCTAAGGTGCAGCTGAGGCTTACCAGTGGGGAGGTAATTTATTACAAATGCACATCTCCAAAAACACCCATGCAACACACAACGATGAACCCACACCCAACCAAGACACGGCAATTACAGCACACAGGAAGGGGACACCATCACCAACAGGGACTAGCCATCACACCCGCTGGAAGCTCTCAGTTGCAAATAAACCTGATAAATTAGTGAAATAAACTAAAATATTCAAAATAAATCATAGTATGACCATCAGTCAGATTTGCTCGCTTATAGCCACAGTGATAGTTCATGTGAGAAAGTCTGGTTCACCATAATAAACCAGGTGCCACAACCAGGCTCAAATCAGACCAGCTCACTACAACAGAAAACATGTACAGCTAACTTGACATCTGTTTTTGACACAATCCTATCATTCTTCTGGCACAATAAACAAGCTGATGTGATCTTGATATGCTATCTAACATGCATTCATTACATCTAGGTTTGATTACTGCAATTCACTCCTGTTTGGTATCAGTCAGACCTCCATTGCACGACTACAACTGGTCCAGAATGCAGCAGCCCGATTTTTAACCAGTACAGACAAAAGAGAGTACATTACACCAGTTTTGGCCTCACTGCACCTTCGAATCCAGTTCAAAATACTCATGTATGTCTAAAAATTGCTGAACAGTCCCCCCCCCCCCCCCCAATCTCTCTGATCTGCTACAATCGTATGTCCCTCCACGCTCCCTGAGGTCAGTGGACCAATTGCTCCTCACAGTTCCAGGAACTCGTCTTAAGCGCAGAGGTGACAGGGCCTTCTCTGTAGCAGGACCAAGACTTTGGAACGAGTTACCTTTGCTTGTCAGACTGGCCCCCTCCCTCGGTTTTCAAATCCCGTTTAAAAACTCACTACTGTTCAGTAGCTTTCAACACCAGAGGATCTGTGTTTTGAACCTGTACGCTCCACACTGGTTAGTCGTCATATTTATTATCTGCATCGATTTTATGTCTATATTTTGGATTTACTTCATTTTGTATATTGCTTCGTGTGTTGTCTATTGTTCTGTCTGTACAGCACTTTGGTTGGCCTTGTAGCTGTTTTAAGTGCTTTATAAATAAAGTGGTATGGTATCTTAAGGTTCTTCTAAAGCGAAACAAGGTGATTTAAATATCCTGATGCATGCTCAATAATCCAGGTAGAAAAATCTAGATAGAAAAAAGGTGATTTAAAGGTTATTTTGAAAACCAAGCAGCAGGATTCCTGTAGCCAGTGATGGAGCAGTATTACCCGCATTTTCTTCCTGGTGCAGCCAGTTAACAACAGACCAGGGCCACAGTTCTGATAAGCAGTGTCTCTTGATACAAAAGGTATCGTTAAGCTTAGCCGGATGTGTGTAGCAGTACTGATCCAAGTGCAGTGTAAGATGAAAAAGCCATAATAGAATGAACTGCAGGACATAGCTGAAGTAAAAAAAAAAAAAAAAGGGGGGGGGGGGGTTATGTCCATCAGATCAGATGGGGGGGGGGGCAATCATAACCTTGAAAGAAGAATTTGTCCAGAGGTCCTGACTTAACCTTGTTAGATTTATCGATCTGGATTATTGAGCATGCATCAGGACAACCGTGAAACTATTTACCAACTTGTGTTTTAGATGATTTATGCTTCAGCACTCAACATCAAAACAGTTGTCAGAAAGCCAACATGCCAAGCAGAGATAATGAATAAACACAGAACAAAACGTTTCCCTCTAAAGGTTTTGGAGCCGTCATATTTCATGTATTTAAAGCAGCAAAGAGATCTCACCTTACAAATGATGGTACAAGAACAGGATACACAAAATGTCTGCTATTTTGAGAAACAGTTTTATTTTATTAGTAAAAGTGAAGTTAATCCCATTCATAATAAACTTTTAATAGACCTCTGGATTTTATTCAGTTATGTCAAGGACAGAAATGGAGACCAGGAAATTAAACACACTCTTCTATTTCACCTCAGAACTGTTTCAAATGTGTTTTTTTCACACAGATTTCTTGGGTTTTTACCAAAACTGTGTTTTATTTGAAGCTCATGCTTACATCATGGTGGATCTCCCTTGATGTTGCACTCCTCGAAGGTTGTTTTAGACTTTTTCAAAATTTAGACTTAAGGATCTAAAAAATATTAAGTCTCGTCCTCTGGACTTAACTTTTTTAGATTTTTCTACCTGGATTATTGAGCATGCATCAGGATGTTAGACATGAGGAGTCGAAAAGAGTCCAGTACTGGTATGTGGAATGCAGGTGCAGATGTCCTGGGGTTCTGTTAACCTTGGTGCAAATATTGGAGTCAGAAGCATTTGTAATGTGGGGGTAAACACATTGGTGGAGGGGTCTGGGGGTCATCCCCCAGAAACTTTTCAATAAAGTAGATGCCATTTCCTGCATTCTGATGTATTTTAACAGATTGTCAAACATCTGTGTTTACCTACATATGTAAACACTTGATTCAATAACTATTTTAGAGACAGATTCCTTATTTAACAAGCCATTATATGCATCATCCTGTTTTTAAACCAACTTATATGGCTAATATAATGAAATAAATGTGACACAGTTAATCATAAACAATGACTTTAGGGATACAGTTTACTTTTATTGTTTATTTTTTGTTTAGTTTTATTTGTAACACAACATGCCATTGTGCTAAGCAATGGTGACAATGAACAGCATGATTAAAAGTAAGAATATTAACTTTACCCAATGAACAGGTGACATTTTAATAACCACCAACAGTGAATTTAGGGGGGCACTTTACTTTTTTCCTGATTTAATGATAGACCTGCTCAGCAAAAAATGACCTGGCAGCATGCAGCCTTCACAACACAAGTTCTTCC